TTCTGTGTGCCCTCTATATATCTCCACACTCTATATTGCAGAGATTCAGTATGAGGGTATGATAAATCACCCTGAAAAGGATGTGGTTGCACTAAAATGGACTTACACAGGAGACAAATTTGTTCTTCTGTACAGGATAAATTACAGCTGCTCACTTCTAGCTTTTTGCTACAGTAATACTTTCAGTATCTGCAAAAATGCATTCAAGTACTTAAAAATCTGTCTCACAAAATACTCCTTGGCCCCTGACCAAGCTACTTTTCCTCATGATCATGAAGCCTTTCCACTATTTTGTCCATACTAAGCACAGAAATAGAGTCCATTAGGACTGCAGCATCACCCTAAATGTTTGGTCCAGTCACAGAAACAACAGTGCCATGTCATCCAAAGTGAAGCAGTTCACACTAGAGATTTGGTTGCTGTTGATTGCTCTGAATTATTTAGCCTGTTCTCAGTCTACCTGTGTCTACAATACTACATACACCGAACATTCCTAATTTGCTTTTCAGTCCTGCTAACATAAGTTTTCTAAATATCTCAGTCTGTCACTACCAGTTGCAAGGCATCCTTTCACAGAAGTGTCATTATAAAAAAAGCTGAAAGCTGATTTCACACCTCTGCTTGTTAAGTATTTTCTAAAGCAAATAAAGCTCTTCACTTAAAAAATAATTAAAACTAACTCTTCATTAACAGTTCAAATTGCCTAGGTAAATTTGGTCACAGCTCTAATTTGTGCACTGTCGCTGGATAGTTTTATCAAGCTTCTTCATTTCATGCTTGCAAAGGATCACTTTCTGATTAATTCTTGTCCACACATGTTTACATTTGGCAAGCAGTTATGAAAAAGCCCATCAACAATGGCAACATCCTTCAAATTCTCTAGACCAAACTGAAAGCCCCTCCCACTGACTGATGCTTCAGATATTACAGAACCGGATTTTGCTGCTGCAGGGGTTACATGCAGCAATAAGTGATGGGAAACAAGTTTATATAACTTCAGGCTTTGTCCGGTACCCAAGGAATGCCTAACCAAAATCTCATGTGTTAACTGTAAAAAAGTTAATGGAATACTGTTTCCATTTCTTCTGAGACAACCTAACTTTGTGTAAAGAACAAAACATAGATCTTTAACTTCGCAATTTTTGTCACTGTGGCCATGGTAATCAATATATGCAACTCTTCCTGCTTTCACTTGCATGAAAGCATTCTGCCTACGAATATATTATCTATGGAAGTGTGAGGTTTTGAAAATGAGCTCAGTGTTTTAATTAACAGATTACCCCATTAGCAGTGTTTTTCAGCCAGTCTTCACTGGCCCTCTATTTCAACCTTTGTTTCCCAATTCACTGGTCTTTTAACAACACTTAGCACAACTCTACTTCCAACTTCATTGGAATCCTGCAGTTTTGCTATTGCAACTCTTTTCAGAGCACTTGATTTTTATTTCTTTTTTTTTCGGCTAAAAGATGCAACTGAAAAGCCACTAATATTTCTGTCTGCTGGAATCAGGAAAGGCTATGGATCTGAAGTGAACTCAGAATTGCACAGATTAGCATCAATTTTTGGATGGTGTACACCTTACTGATTTGGACTAGAAAATCCATCTTAAGTCTCCCCACCAAGTTCCTTCATCTGTTTTTAGCCATCTGCACTTTTAAATACTAAATAAACGATTTGCCATTGTCTGAAATATCCAACTAGTCTTACTTATTCAAGGCTTGAGACAAAACCAAAGACATTATTTTTGAGAGCATATTTGTACAATTGCACACCTTTCGGTCTCACTAAATAGGGGCTTTAGGCTACCCGTTTATCTCACCAACCCAGAAACAATTCAGTATTATGCTCATATTCTGCTTAAGCCCCTTCTTTAGAGCATTATTTAGTAGTTTCATCGCAGGCTGTAGCAAGCCCCAAACCAAAACCATTCAATGTAAATCCACTAGTTTACTCTGACCCAGAAAATTCCTGTCAGGACGCTCTTTATCAAACCTCTTTAGAAGAAAAAAGCAATTACTGCACACTTTTCTAAAACATTCTTTTCTGGGCATAACATCCCCACATCCACTTGCTCTTCTTTATAAACAACTTTCACTTAAAACTGAAGTCAACTGACATTCTCTGACGTTTATGGAGGCACCCCGCAAAGTTACAGGCACAAACACATCAGAAGCATCTACCTTCTTCCGTTGGCAAACACAATTTCATTAGCATCGTTCCAGAGACACGAGAAAAGAAAAAAAAATTACTGAAGGCTAATTTCAATGTAGTGGGTTTTGGACTTTTCCTGTCTCACACAGCCTCCTCGAGCACAGATTCATTTTCTCAATAAAAACCATCACATTTTCATATGTGTGATTTGATCAGAATTACTATGGCAATTAATTACCCCGACATTGATATTTTGGTGGAATTTCACATACTTGCTCATTTTTGAACAATTTAAAATTTCATAAATTATTTCATAAAAATAAACTCATACATCAATCAGATAAATAGGTCTGTTCTGGGGAGCGGGGTAGTGGGGTGTCATTAATGTAGCTGCCTTATGTTCCTCTTGCCAACTTGAGTTTCTTTTCCTAACAAACAAATTCTAAACTCATCTGAAAAGTCAACTGCCATGCAAATGGGCTCCACCAAATTCACTAGCAGTTCCTGGACCTCAGACATATTTTTTCCACCCTATTTTAAAATATTTTCTATCTTTTACTAAAAAAAAAATAAATAATATTTAAACAGTATTTTTAATAAGAGAGGATTAACTCAGACAATCAACAATTGTAGTAGAATTCAGTATTCCTTTAATTTAATCATGTTTCTCTTGCAATGAATATACAGTAAAACTCCTGCAGGTTTTTCAGTGTTCCTCCAGGAGGAACAGGGCAGCAAAAAGCAGAATTTCAAACTTTCAATGACAGAAAAGGCAACCAATTTTTAAAATAGATTAAATACTCCTGGCGAATTTAAAACATTTTGAGGTACACAGATGGTAAAATCTGCAAAGTCCTATGAAATACTGTGATCACCAAAGCTCTACTCAGTGCCCTATTAACATTTCTAAAATTCTCATCCCTTAAGTATATACGCATTAAGCATAGGAAATAAATCAGTGTTCATACACAGCAGCCCTCTGTATTTCAACTTTTTATCCTTGTCCCTCCACTGATTATATATTTGATAGTATGATGGCTTGCAAAGAACTTGTATTTTTTCATGGACATCTCTTCTTTCCTTGTTTGCCCTTTACTTTGAACTTTTTCTTTCAGGACATCAATATTGGGCAGGGGGGCAACTCAAACAAAAACAAAAAACAAAACCACTTCTGACAGAAATTTAAATGTCTTTCGGGTAATTCATCTTATGGTGTACCAAGGAAATCAAGGAGAAAATCCTGCTGCCTTCCTGACACCATGATACATCTTTATTGGAAAACAATGGGCTGGATTCAAAGACAGACTAATCAAGTTGAGGGTTCTCCTACAGAACTTTTCAGCTACATTTTGCACAACAGGATGCCAGTGAGCATGCTGAGCAGAGTGCTATATAACAGGTTAGAAAGCACTACAGCCTATTAGGACATACATTCACATCGCTCTGGCTAATCTGCTACACTGCACTATTTGTATATAACTTGCATTGCTTCAAAAAGGCTCCTCTAGGGAAATGTTTTTGTCTTAATTTAAGTGTATACTGTGGCAGATCAGATAGGAAAGCCATTTGTGGTTTGATGCATTAGGTTGAAAAGACTACTATGATTTTCCAGTAAAAAAAATATTCAAGGTTTATACTTGAACACGTTAAGGTGGAAAACCACTGATAAAATTAGAAACAGCTGGTAAATGAAGACAAGGAACAGTGTTAAAAAGAGAAACTGCAATGCTTTTCTTTTAAGAAGGACATCAGTAACTACCATAAATCCTATGTGAGTGGTTAACATACATTTCACTGTAGACCTGGATGGGAAATAGATATTTAAGTGTTGAAAGCCAACATATGGTAAATTTTAGCAGTACTGTTTGAGCAAGTACGACTAGTCATCTAACTGGCAAACTCTTCCAGAGGAGGAGAGAAACGGCATCGAACGTACAAGTATTGATTATTACACAGCAGAAGACAGAACAAAGAGGTCAGGGGTGGCAGCCAGAACTGTCACCAGAGCCTGTGCCCCACGTGGCATGGAGTACCACATGGTCCCTGCTGCATGAGGATATGGAGGGCAGTCCCCCATGCTGTGGCACAAATGGCAACATGCAAGGGTACCACTTCTGGTACAAAGCCATTTAGCATTTGAATTCTGCTGCTCATCCGTGTCGACGTGGCCAGACACAATTTATCTGACAGCACATTTCAAGAGCTAGATAGAAAACATGAATTGACAGATCCTCTATTTATACTATGCATTTCAGGACATTGTGGCGCAGTTATTTTGCAGATTTCAGAGAACATTTGTTAGAATTTCAATGGGGAGAAACATAGCATTTACGGATAAGGAGAGGAATCTTTAGTAAAATCTTTGTACAAGACATACATCTGAGACAAGTATCTGCTAACATTTTTATAATAAAAGAATCGTCTTTATCTCTATTAAAAGGTATCCATTACTAAAAATGGAGTTGAATAGTATATTCCATTGACATCTTGACAATAGAAAAGAAAAAGTATAACCATATAGTACCTAAGTGGCAACTTCCCAAAAAAATCTCCTTTTGTCCAAACATAATTTTGTATTCATAAACAAATGCACACACGATGTTCAGACAGTATTTCTACTAAAGATAAATGACAGAAAATGCATGCAGAAAGCAGAACAGAGTTTCGATTGCATGTAAAAATAAACACATTTACTATTTCGCAAGGACAAATGTTTCTTCCGGAAATTTTATATGACAGTACCCACAATTCAGTGTCCAATAACTGCAGCCCTTTCAAAAAGTAAATGCAGATTCAAAAATATATATTATCAACACAGAAGCAGAGATCCTATCGCTATGAGCACTCACCTCATAATTGGCAATTGCTTCTCTATCAAGGGCTCGGGTCACGGAGACATCCCCACTGATCTCATTGATTCTAAAAATTCCTTTTGGGTCTTGATCTACTCCTTTACCAGAGAGTCGAAACTTTGCTCCCTCTGTCCCTTCACTGCTGATGACCTGCAGGGAAGAAAACAAGAAGTTACAGGCCATATTTTAAAGACTTTTAAAATAATTCTAAAACCACATAAGCCGTTCTGTTCTTTTACCTAACATCAAGGTATATTCCATACCAATAATATACAACTCCAAAGTCTTACTCAATCGTTCAAACACTCTGCAATTCTTGTGTTAAACCCTGGAAAAGCTACTCATGTCCTTAGCCAGTTCCTATCTAATCTTTACTGTCTTCTATTTCACTCCTTAAAGCTTCTATTATACCATTGCTACTGTATTCACTATATGTTTAAAACTTGACATTTTATTTAATTCTATTTATTTTTCCAGTGAAATTGATGAAATAGCTACAAACTTATAAAAAAAAAAAAAAAAAAAAGAAAAAAAAGAGGCATATTCCAATGACTGGCATAAAGCATAACTTATTCCACAACAGCTCTTACAATACCAGATAGCCATCACATATCATTTTCCAATCAGCCAGTCCCTTTTATTAGCCATTGTAAATGCATTACAAAACAGACTACTTTCAGGTTGGCCCGTTGTGTTCCACCCCCCCTGCCATTGCCTTCTACACTCCTCTTTTCCCAGGATTTTAAACCAAGGAAAAAAAGCTCCTCATGAAAATATTTGGATATCCTGCCCAGAACTCTGCTTAGTCACACAGGGGTGTACGGAAACTCCTTGTTACTATCACCACCTTATTCCCCCATAAGAAAAAAATCCCTAAAAATGCAATTTCAAGGCTGTCTCACATTAGCGACAGTAGCATATGTAAACTTGCAGAGCTACACAATGTTTGTTATAAGCTACATGGTTTGCAAATTTGTATTTGTACACCAGAATCTAGAAGGATTATAAATTAATCTTGCCCTTTAAGGCTGACAATCTTGTCAAACCATTCCTTCCCTCTGCTGTTTCATGTTCTTTTGTCTCTAGCAATTTTATACCGTTAATATTTCCGCAGAAACATTAAGTCAAATATTTATATGCTGGTTTGAATTACAGCTCAGGAAGAGGAAGGGAAAAAGCGGCCTTAGAAAGCTGGACCTGCTCCCATTTTGAGAAAATAAATATGCAGGGTGGTTAATAATGTCCCTGAGGAAATACATGTTTGTTGCCCTGTTGCTGTGGGTTCAGCAACACTGGTTTGCAGATTACTGGGCAGTGAGATTTTGACTAAATTCCATAATCATTATTCCTTTATTTTAATTGAGAAAAAAATGCCACAAGTTATGAAATAGGAAATCAGCATTTTCAGAGATAAAGTTTCAATTCTGAAACCCTTTGGGGAAGGAAGAAATTTCAAAGTAAAAACCTGTTTCACCTTTTTTTTTTTTCTTCCTCCTTCCAAGTCAGAAACACTAATGGATGAAGTTTTCTTCTCATGTATTTTTTGAGTGTGTCATGCCAAACACAGAGGCAGACAACACTGCAGGTGACAAAAGGGCAAAGTAACTTTGTATCTTCAGGTTTTGTGATGAAACTGAAAATTAATGGTTCCTACTGTAAAGTTCCCTGCTGTTCAATTCATTATTTGACCAGTCTCGGGTATTTTTTACATCTAGCCTAAAAATACGTGTTTTTCTTAACATAAAGCTATGCTTACCATTTTACAATGTCATGACCATTGCTCACTTTTGTAAGAAAAAGATGAATTTACCATCTTCTGCTCTGATTTCTGAGACTTATTACAAGACAAGTGCACCTTCCCATCCAATATAAAAACAGTGGTTTGAAAGGCCTCAAGTCAGCCACAGGCCAGCGCAAAACTCTAATTCAGAGATGTCTACACAACAGCCATTTCCACCGTAGCCATCAAACATCACCTAACTGTTTATGACAAATTTAGGTGCAATGCCCCAGTTGTAAAAAGCCACAGGAAAAAAAAGCAAAACAAATCATGGGCTGTGAGAGGGAATTTATCAGGAAAAAATCCAGATAGTCATATACAGATCTTTCTCCACACTAGACAGAAAGGCAGGAGTATAATAATAATAGCAATAAGGGTCCCTGCAAACCTGACTGGAGGTAAAATTTCTTCTCAACTACAAATCTGGCAAAGATCTTAACCTTGAGTTTGATGGTAAGACATCCCCATGCAGTACCTGAAAAATTTGTACTCCTTGGAGCTACGACACATCCCATATCTTTTCCCCACTTGAGCTGTAAACTATTCTTCAGCATATAATGTATAGGACCAACAAAGTTAGCAGAAAGCAGTTTGTTTTTTTCTAAATGACAGGACGTGTCCATCCAGCTTTTTTAAAGTTTCAAGAAGCAGTCACAGTGTAAGTATGCACAGACCCTTCTTTATCTGTTTACCCACAGGAACAGAATGGTTTGGGTTGGAAGGGACCTTAAAGATCATCTAGTTCTAACTCCCCTGCCATGGGCAGATACTAAGATACTATATCTAGTTCTAACCCCCCTGCCATGGGCAGATACACCTTCCACTAAGAGCAGGTTGCTCAAAGCCCCACCCAGCCTGGTCTTGAACAACTCCAGCACCCCATCCAGCCTGGTCTTGAACACCTTCAGCAACAGGGCATCCACAATTCCTCTGGGCAACCCGTTCCAGTGTCTCACCATCCACACAGTAAAGAATTTCTTCCATAAATCAACTCTAAAATTCCACTCTTTAAGTTGAAAACCGTTACCCCTCATCCTATCGCTCCACTCCCTGATAAAGAGTCCCTCCCCATGTTTCCTATAGCATCCCCTTTAGTTACTGGAAGGCTGCTATAAGGTCTCCTGGAATCTGCTCTTCTCCAGGCTGAACAACCCCAACTCTCTCAGCCTGTCCTCACATCAGAGGTGCTCCAGCCCTCTGAGCATCTTGCATCACTGCAACTCTTCGAGTGCGACTATACAGCCAATTCCTTATCCACTGAATGGTCCATCAATCAAATCAGTGTCTCTCCAATTAGAGACAATGATGCCATGCAGGACAGTGTCAAATGCTTTGCACAAGCCCAGGCAGATGATGTCTCTTCCCTTATCCACCAACACTGTAACCATCTATGCATCTAGTTATTGCACAGCGACTTATGCTTGATACAGTAATAAGAAGTCCAGGTTAGAGATGCTCCATGTACCACTGTATCATTTGTTCAAGAGCAATGGTGGTCGCACAAAAAGTAATTTTCAGTTTGATTTTTTAAAATGTTTAATTAGCCACAAGAGGGAGCTACATACTCCCAGGAATGTATATAGAACATCAACATCTCCTAAATAAGATGCTTATATAATGGCTGTGTAGTTCAAAGAAAGTGCATTTCCCAGTTCACACTAAACTTAGTACAATGAAAAGTTTAATAAAAATCAGGCTTAATTTGCCATATGGTTTGGTGCTTCAACAAGAGCAAGGAAGAACGAACAAGACAATTGTTTGACATCTCCTCTGGCAAGACTGCTATTCTGAACACTGTCATAAACCCAGCACTGTTCATATGAAAATTTCCTAGCTTACAATGTATTTACACAATGATGTTTTCCCAATTTACCGGCTGAGAAAAAACATGGCCAGATTATTTCTGCTGGCATGTTTACTTTGGGATGTCATTTTTACATTTCTAAAATACATAAATGACTTTTCTGCAGTTACTACTACCTGAAGCCCAGACAGAAACACTTATTTCTGTAATTTGTTCACAGCTTTAGGAACTTCAGTGCAGGTTCTAATATTGAAAATGTCTGCACCATATGGCAGTGGCTTTGTGTTGCATATAAAGACTCTAATTCTTCGGAAATGGTCCAGTTAAAGTAGCGCAGACCCAAGCACCCTCCCACTAAGAACACAGATAAAGCAGGTGTGCTTCATCTGGCCTCCCAGTTTCTATTTATTTCATTTTCCCTTGTTCTCACCTCACAATTCAGAAGGTCCTTGACATTGCATGAGTAGGTGGCATAGACAGAATAGATGCCAGCTGAGCATCCCACAATAATATAGACTCTTGAAGGCTATTTCCTCACCAGGGACCCCAAGGGCAGTATTAGATGTAGACTTAGACATTACTCACTTCCCCACACCCGATAACACTTTCCCATGTCAAGGGCAGATTGGAGAAAAAAATATATTGAAAACTGAAGTGATCCATGCTAGCCTTGTCAGGACCACATATCTAGCACCCAAGACAAACCAGTATTTTTTATTTTTATTTCCCCCCGCCAAAAGGCAGAGACTGTATGATTCTGCTCAACTAAAAGACACTTTCAAGAAAATAGAATGTTACTTAGCTGACAGGATCTGTTTTTTCCTGAACCATGGCCAGAACATATTTACCAAGTGCTATTTTTCAGCTGACATTATGTATCCCTTCCAGCTAAACTCATTTCAGCAATGTGATCCCCCTGTTGTTATGGGTTTATCGCAAAAGTAAATCAGAATGTTCTCAAGAGAAGAAAAACAGAAGTACAAAAAACCACACTACCCCTAGAGAGAGACTTTAAAGTCCTGCAACCCCAGCAAATCTGTCCTTAACAGCACCATCCTAGTTTACCAGTTTCATCCTTTAAGAAGTGTCTGCTCAACCACTTTCATAGCTTCTTAGTGCTTGATACCATGTGAATTAGAGATGCATCACAATAGTTTCACTTTTTACCCTCAGACAGGAATATTTGTTTCATATCCCAGTAACTTCCATTTCAGAATGCTACACTCTCTCAAGTGCTTTATATTTTGTGGGCTTTTGATTGTTTTTGATGTTTCTCCCCTCCTCTAGTCTCCTAGGAAGGAAATTTATCCATGGCATATTTAGAGGTGAACTATTTTTCCCTTTAATCACTCTTCAATGGTTTAGGCCCATTGTTTAGACATCATATAAATATTTAAACAGACACATCCTGTACCGGCTGTACTCATACCTTGAATGTGCAAAATTTTATACCAGCTGTCAGAGACATAACATGGGAAGAAAAAAAAATAATCAGGAGTTGAAATTAGTTATGAAATTGAAAAATTATACATCAATATTCTAAGAGGGGTTTTTTTTAGCATCTTA